TTCGATCCTCCCTAATATCATCTATAGAAGTGATTTAAAGTCTTTATCCTGAACCCGTCTCAAACAGGATTAACTCTCGTAAAGGATACCTGCAATTTATCCAAAAATAAAATAAAATAATTACTATATTTAATTTGCTTGGTTAGGCTGTCCTTCATATTTGCTTGTTTTCAGGTTTGTTTTCCTGTATCCTTTATATAATTATATGTTCGGCACTACATCTAAAAGAAAGGGCACTATATTTTTACAAGAAGTATTATACCAAATATTGGTGTAATAAGCAGAAGGGAGTAGTAATATTCTACGCAAATATTTAATTAACAAAAAAGTTAATACGAAATTTGCCAATACAGATTAACTTAATTGGAAGAATTAAACAATCATGATAATGATGCAGCATTTTTTTCCCTTAATTTTTTTATGCCAAAAAAAGGTTGAAAGAGATTTTTTATAGCGTGTTTTGATTTTTTCTTAAAATTAGATTTATGTATTTTTTTGGGTTAAATTTCACATTCAAAATTTTGTAAGTTTCCAATTGGTCGAGTAAAAAAAATTGATTAGTTTTATATAATATAAATAAACACTAAATTATAACAGACCTAGTTTAATTTACAGATGTCTGGGATTCTTTTTTTCTATTTTTGTTACACTTCTAAAATTTGTTTGGGAGCGCAAGGACAGTTGCTTAATGAAAGAATATAACCATAATTTGACACCGCTCTGCGTCACAGCAATCAATTAATATGACCAAAATGAGCGTATTGTTTAAGATTACTTAATTTTGGACAGAAGAAACAAGCATAAAAAAGAGAAAGAAAGAAAGAATATAGGTGAGCCCGCTTCCCGTAACAGTCTTTTTATGTATGAACATATTTGATTTACTAAAAAATAAGTACAACAGCCATTAAAATTGATTTAATAGCGAGGGATTTAAGTAATTTGTATTAAATTATGTGTTTAATTTACAGCATTGTATCAAAAAGAAAAATTATGGACAAATTTAGAGGTAAATTTTATATGAAAGTAAAATTTGACAATATGGGTTAAAGTTATGATTGTCTGTAAAAACGCCTCATTCCCCACCATGATTACAGAATGAAAAATAGGACCTCAACGACTTTATCTACTAACAACGACAAATAAAAAAAGCGACAGGCCTCTAAAGCAAATTACAATTTCCGAATTTTCTGCCTTTTATCATCATGGGTATGTTATGTATCTATGAATGCTATTTATTCGGAGACTTTGGCCATGTTTTTTGTGGGGCAGGAGTGTTTGGTACACGAGGTTCTCTAAATCGATGTCATAGCTCATCGTCTCTGTGTGTATTTTATAGTTCTTGATTCAAAGAGGGACGAAGATTTTTTTGTACAATTAGGATATGGCGCAAGTCGCAACAGCAAGAGCATTACTGTTCCACATTTGGTACCGATTACGTCTAGCTCCCCCCCACCTCACAAAAGAACTAGGCCACTAGAAAAGATGAAACTAGATGCTAGATAAAGAGAAGGCATTCATATGATCATATCCATACAACACACAATTCAGTGAGTTGGAATTCCACCTAAGACCTTCTTTTGATGTAAAGACAAATTTAATTTCCCCATCAGGCATAGGACGTGCATTTTAAACTTTTTCAAAATATAATAGCTTTGTTCCCATTCCCATCATTCCATCTTAATCATCTTCGTCATATTGCCTCGATACCAACCTTTAAAAATTCCCTATCGTCATTATAAATCACTTTGAACTTGATGAACCGAAATGATAACATTTGGATTCTTTCATTCATCTTCCTTATGATCGATCAAAAAAGCTACTATATTACTTTTCTTCACCATTGGCGAACAATCATTAGTATTAATGGTCTAGTTGAAAATTGCACTAAATTAACGCACTGCTACTACATCAATAATAGATGGTTACCACTGTTTCCCTAATGTCAATGATTGTGTTGAACTACGAAAGTAATTGAGTTTTGATAAGTGTTATTAAATTTGATTCGGGCATCGATTCAGTTGGGATATTGGGTCATTGGTTGCACCAGTGGATCATTGGTCGGACTGGTTGACCTGAATATATAAAAATATGAACATATAAATTTAATTATATTCTCCATATATAAAATGAGTTAAACAAGGTTCACTAAATAAGCTAAAAAATTACCCAATCACATTTTTACAAGTTCATAAAGCACAAATAAATAAAAATGCATGCTATTACTATGTCAATTTAAATTGCAACTTAGAATCTCCATAAACATACCTCTCAATGACATTCAAAAGGCCAGATGTTGTGAACTCATATTTTTCAAATTCATCTACATTGAAATGACATATGTCATATTTCTTAACTTATTGTTCCAATAATTGCTTCAGTATTGGAAGCTGAAATTTGAGGTTATTGTAGAAGAGTATACTATTAACAAATAAAATTACAAAAAAAATTAAAATGAGTTCTACATTTTTTTTTTCTGACAAGTTGAAACAATTTTGATTTTTGATTTTTATTTATTTATAAAAATGCATAACCCAACCAGGTCACCGGTTTTGGTCGGGTTTCACTAGATTTTGACCGGGTCCGATGTATGGCCGGTCCGATGCTTGACTCGAATCGGTCCGATAATTGGTTCGTCGGATTCTAGGTCAACTCGGCTGGGTCGAGCCGGGTTTCACAACACTGGTTTTGATGTTAACAAAGCACATACAAGCTCAACATCTAAGCACAACTTGAAAGACAGTGTAACAAGTCCCAAATGATGATAGAAGATCAAAACAGCATGTAAAAAGTAAGGGATAACTCAAAGTGCAAAAGTCAACCCTTAAGTCAAAGTTTTCAAGTGAAACAAGACTATAAAAGGCTCTAAACTTAAAGACCATTGAATTCAAGTCAAGACAAAGGTTCACACAGGTTTACATAGTTTGAAATATAGTTTTAAGTATAGAAACTTAAAGAATGAAGAATATTGAGTTCTATCTTCAAGAAGTGCACACTCATAATTCATAAAATACATTATAGGAACCTACATGCTTCAATTATGCATACAAGATCAAACACATATAGAAAGTTGTTAAAAAGTTATTAGAAACATTCATACATGCGTTAGAAGTCATTAGAAATCATTTGAAGTTGATTTGGATCGAAAACAATAAAAATAGGGATGTTGTAATGATATATCCAGACATATGAACTCATATATCAGGATACGCATATCAGGATATGCATCTCCGGATATGCATCTCCGGATAGGAACTCGACGTATGTCCGAATATGAGTTTACCAGAAAAGCTAAAACTCAATTTTAATGACCCAAATTGATGTCCAACAGACACAAATGACTATAATCTTCGTTGGACTCGTATATAAACATTAAATTATGGTTTCTAAACAAGTTTAGAGAGAGGAAAACACGTATTCATATAGAATTCAAGAATAACACCATTTTAGGCTTATTTTGCACATCTTGAGAGAAAGCTCAATAATCTTTTATTCTTCTTTGTTTCTTTCTATTTCTTTTGTAATTTGGATTGTAGAAAGATTGTTCTACATCTGTTTCAAGTTGATCTGTGGAATGGAGTGATCCTATAGGTGTATAAGTTGAGAAAGTGATCAAGGTTAATCAAGAGTTTAGTAAAATTCCATTGTACATCAGTAACTCAGGCATCAATTAGAAGCTCTAAAGCACGGACACGTTTTTTTTGTGAAAAAATGCGTGTCCGACACGTGTCGGACACGGACACAGACACGTTCGGACACGCGTCCGACACGTGGTCAACTTTTTGGGACACGTTGACTTGAGGGACACGCGTGTTTGACCGAATCCGACACGTAGTCAACGAATTTGGACACGTTTTGCATTTTTTTTAACAATTAAAAAAAATAAAAAACATTTAATAAAATTAAAAAAAGAACCCTATCCTCTGAATCTCTTATCCTCTCTCGCGCTGGAGAGTTGAGGCTGCAAATCGCCGCTTGGTCCTTCTCGTCGGTCGTCGTCGGTCATCGGTTGTCTTCTCCGGTCGTCGGTCGTCGGTTGTCTTCTACATCTCCGATAAGTCTTCTGCAATCCAAACACAAGATTTATCCGAAGTAGTTCAAGCTTTGTCAGAACTAGAATCGACATTAAAATTCTAAAACTTCGATTGTGAATTTGTTGTCCATGTAGAGCCTAATGTTTTCTAATAAGCATAGGATTGAATTCACCAGTTATATACACTGTCCCTTCAGAACATATTCTCGAATGTGAAACAGAATTTATACTTGTTCTATTAGGGAGGGTTGAAGTTGCTGAAGTGATGCCTTATTCTGAAATTTGAATTCAGTTGTCTTACTCAAACTTTGTATGATAAATATTATTTATGGCTTGTCCCTTTTAACATAAGAAATAGCATGGAAAAGGAAGGTTGCTTTATAATTTCTGACATGGTTCTTACTGCACTAATAGTCGAAACCTAGCCAACAGATTTAATTTTACTGGTTTACTACTAAATTTATGTTCAGGCAGAGCTAAGTTTCTTGATATCAGGATAGATATATTCTCCTTGTTCCTCTTAGATCATTATTTGGGCTATGAATTTTTATTTTGTCATGCTATATATATAACCGGGTCTTAAATTTTCTGATATGTGTTCATGTTGTTGAATCATATCGAATACATCTCACAACTGGTCAACATTTTAAGTTATTTAGAATTGGGTTCTTTCATGTATTTCCTTTTTTTGTGTTTCTTTAGTTTAACTTTGTTTCAGCAGTTATTGAGTCAGAGAGGAGCAAAACAAGTGCAGGCATATTAATAGCTTATATTCTAGCAGCTGTTGATCCTTTTTATTTCATTCTTTTTTCTTTCAACCATGTTAATCCAACTCCCTCAGACCTACGAACTACTTTAGTTTTACTCAATCTATTATAGCAGCTTGCATCAAGTAATTTAGTTCTCTGTTTTATATACTAAATCAATCTCACTAATTTCATTTTTTTTAACACATTTATAGAATTACAAGATGGATCATTCGAGTTCTGCCTCTGCCAGTGCAAGTAATAGTGCCACTGCTGCTACCAATGCTTCTGATGTTAATGAATTACTAGATAAACCCTTATGGAAATATGTTACCAAAATAGATGCTATAGTGGGAGGAGGAGGAAATTTATCTTGGATGTGCAACTTTTGTAAAAAAGATTTTAAAAGTTCATATACTAGAGTGAGGGCTCATTTGTTGAAACTATCAGGCAAAGGAATTGGGAAATGCTTAATGGTGCAAAATAGAGATGTGATAGAGATGGAGAAATTAGAAAAAGAAGCTGACCAGAGAAAGCAATCCAATGCACCCAGAAATGTACCTTTACCTCCTAGCTCTTCCACGTGCCCAAAAAAAAGAAAAATTGCAGGTTCTCTTGAGATGGCATTTAATGTTGGGGAGCGAGAAGAATTAAATTACCTGATTGCTAGAATGTTTTATTCAGCAGGATTGCCATTCAATTTGGCAAAGAACCCTTACTTCCAAGCTTCGTATACTTATGCAGCAAATCATAATATTGGAGGTTATTTGCCACCGGGATATAACTCACTGCGAACCACTCTGTTGCAAAAGGAGAAAGAAAATATTGATAAGTTGTGTGAACCTATTCGAGAGGCTTGGACTCATAAAGGGGTGAGTATTGTAAGTGATGGGTGGAGTGATTCACAAAGGAGGCCACTCATTAATTTCATGGCAGTATCTGATGGTAAAGCAATGTTTTTAAAATCAGTTGATTGCTCGGGGGAGATTAAGGATAAGAATTTCATTTTCAGGTTGTTTGTTTGAACTTTTGTATTCTATTTAAGTGTTTATTTGCTCAAGGGAGACTAATGATAAAAATTGCATTTTCAGGTTGCTAAAAGAAGTTATTCAAGAAGTATGAGAGGCGAATGTGGTTCAAGTAATCACAGATAATGCTGCAAATTGTAAGGGAGCAGGGCAATTGATTGAGCAGGAATTCCCATCTATTACCTGGACACCGTGTGTCGTTCACACATTGAATTTGGCTGTGAAAAATATTTGTGCTGCAAAGAATGTTGAGAGCAATCAAATAACGTATGAGGAATGCAGCTGGATTTCTGATATTGTAGGTGATGTTGCTGCAATAAAGCATTTCATTATGAATCATTCTATGAGATTGGCCATCTTTAATGAGTTTGTGAGTTTGAAGTTGCTTTCTATTGCTGATACTCGTTTTGCTTCAATGATTGTGATGCTGAAGAGGTTCAAATTAATAAAGAGTGGTCTCCAAAATATGGCGATAAGTGAAAAATGGAATATTTATAGAGATGATAATCTTGGGAGAGCCAGACATGTGAAGGAAAAATTATTGGATGATTGTTTTTGGGATTCAGTTGATTACATACTTGCCTTCACTGCTCCTATTTATGATATGATCAGAGCTTGTGACACTGATAGAGCTTGTCTTCACTTGATATATGATATGTGGGATGCAATGATTGTGAAAGTGAAGAAAGCTATATACCATAAAGAGGGGAGGAGGATGGAAGATAGCTCCTCTTTTTATGATGTGGTGCATCGCATTCTTATGGATCGTTGGACAAAAAACTCAACTCCACTACACTGTTTGGCACATGCTTTGAATCCCAAGTAAGTTTTTAAATATGATTTAGTTTAAAATTAATACTCCTCTTGATATAATTTGACAACTTGTTGATTTTTTTTGCTTCTCTTTTAGATACTATAGTCAACAATGGCTTCAGGAAGATTCTAGTCGAGTTCCTCCACACATGGATTTAGAGCTTACTCAAGAGCGACAAAAATGTTTAAGGAGATTCTTTCCTAGCATGGAGGACCGAAGCCGGATTAGTTTGGAGTATGCAGATTTTATTAGCAATAGTGGAACCTTTGGCGATTTTGATGCCATCAATACTCAATACACTATGGATCCGAAATCTTGGTGGCTACTTTATGGTACCTTTACACCGATGCTTCAAAAAATAGCATTGAGACTTGTGCAACAACCCTCCTCTTCATCATGTGCTGAACGCAATTGGAGTACTTATTCTTTTGTGCATTCCATCAAGAGGAATAAAATCACTCCAAAACGTGCTGAAGACTTGGTTTATGTGCATAGCAATCTTCGACTCTTATCAAGAAAGACTCCTAATTATGCACAAGGAGCAAATCAAATGTGGGATATTGCTGGAGATACATTTGATTCACTTGATGATATTGGAGATATTCAATTTGCTAGCCTTTCACTTGATGAGCCAGAGATAGAGGCCATGATTATTCAAGATGGAGATGAAAATAATTGAACTGTGTGTAATCATAAGTAAAATAATTTTTCTATTTTCTACACTCTACACTCTTGGGATGTTCTATTTTTTTTTTAATATTTATGTTATGAAATTTAAATATTTGATTGGTTATATGACTTATTATGGACTCTTATATGTATTAAATATAAATTATATTATATATATTAAATATTTTATTTAATATTAAAACGTGTCCCAACGTGTCGGAATTTAACATTTTTTAGAATTAACGTATCGGCGTGTCGTGTCGTATCTCGTGTCCCGTGTCCATGTCCGTGCATCGTTGATTAGAAGTTCTAAGCATAGTGGACAATCTACATCAGTCTAGACATAACTCTCTAGTGATTTGAGAGTAAACCAGGATAAATGTTTGTGTTTAATCTTCTAAACCCTTATCTCTTTTAATTTCTGCTTTTGATTCACTGTTTGCTGCGTTTGTAACTTTGATCTGAATATGATTTTGGGTTAGAAATGGTTTAGTCTCTATTCTTGATTATTTTCTTGTTAAAGGGGCTTGAGAAATTAAGTTTGTTGCAAAAGAAGTAATCGCAATTCAACCCCATCTTGTGGTGTAAAACCATTCTTATTTTACATATTGGACATCAAATGCCATTATAATGATACGAGCATACATTCTGGATATTTTTCACTTAATTAACAAAGGCTAATAATGGAAATAATTTAAAAATCTCACGTGGTTAACTATTTGATAACTTACCTCCTGAGTATAGGTAACAAAATTATTGGGTTAACCCATTTAACCCGTCATATATAACAGATTGGATTCGATTGTCAACTCATTGCCCTGTTTAAGTCCATCTTGCATAAATGCAAGTTAAAATGGGTGGGTTGACCGGCTGTTTTTTCGTTTTTTAAGAAGGGTTTTATAATTTTCATTCAACATGAGAATTAAAATCTTCCTACACACTCTTTGATTTTCATGTTGACATGGATCCTACACATAATTTTTTTCTAACATATGGATCTCATATGCTTTTTATCTCTACAACATAAAATTTCAATTCTGATGTAACTTCAGAATTATAAAACCTTTTTTTTTTTTTGATAACATTATAAAACCCTTTTAATAAACATTAGTCATTGACCCCGTTACAACTCTCAATCTTCATTTGATACCGTTTACTTCTCCATTCAGCACAAGCTTTTAGGCTGGTTGATAGGGAGGAAATGAATTGCCCGTTTTGCCACCTTTGTGTTAATGGTGTTAATTTTACTCACGGCAGAATTGATTTTTAGAGCCTAAAAGGTTTACCGAACACACAGGGTTACTGTATAAAATTATTTTGCATGCAGCAATCGTAATTTTTGGTTGAAATAAACAGGCACTGGAAATACTTTTGTAGTAAATGTTAAGCCACACCACTGACTTTTTGACTACGGGAGCCTTAATTTAATAATTAATTACTAATTCATCCTTCAACCAAAATATATCACCATCTGCCTCTGTTTACGTAAAATATCCGGGTATGCAGGGGATACCCGGGTATAATTTGAAAATTTTACCCTACCCGGGTAGTCAAGGGGATACCCAGGTATTGTTCGTAATCTGAAAAAATGCTTGAATTATTTACCCGGGTAGGGAGGGGGATACCCCAGTATTGTTCGTAATCTGAAAAAATGCTTGAATTATTTACCCGGGTAGGGAGGGGATACCCGGGTAATCTGGAAAACACTAAAACAAAAAAAGGCTGCTAAGTCTACTCCAAAAAAAAAAAAAAAAATCCTAAAAACTTTGTTCCCTGATCGTTTTTATTAATTTTCTTTTCTTTACATTTTATTGTTTTTCATTTTTTATTTCAACATCAAGTACGTAGTCTTCTCTAGGACAGAGAAAGTCGCTAGTATTTTCTGGACTGGATATAAAGTATAAAGAAAATTAATTCTTACTTGCAATTAGTGGCAATTGCAGCCAACCCATCAATGCTGAATCCATCACAACTCAAAAGGGAAAGAGCTTTGAAATTGGAAAAAGAAAGCATTGTACCACTCTTTGCAAACCAATGAAACCGAGCTTCTATCCTTTCGTGATTTCAACATGCCAAGAACTCGTTCTAACACCTCATCTCGAAAAGCCGAAGCTCGGTTCAAGTTGTTTGATTCTATAGATTCATTCTTTCTCTTACACTACATTTCCAATCCATAAGCTCCCAAAAAAAGGAAATTATAAAAAAAAAACTTTAAACAGTGACTTTCTCTTTTTTAATTATTTCTGTCAACATAAAGTCTGTACCCAAGTATCCCCTTCCCTACCTGGGTATCCCCTTTACTTACTCGGATAAATATTCAACATATATAAGAAACAGATTTATTTCGCGAACTATACCCGAGTAGGGAGGGGAATACCCGGGTATCTTAATGGTCAACGGTCAAACAGGAGCATATTGGTGTTATGTTTGTTAAAAATGTTAAATTTTTGAAATAATTTATAAACGTGGACAAAATGATAATTTTTTACTAATGAAATATTACAATGGTCAAAAAGCCCCACACCACTAGATAAGGAAAGTGTGGGGATGATAAAAATATTTAGAATTTTTTTTAAAGCATCACCTTCACTTTTGATTACTTAAATTAATCCATTTTATATTATAAATAATTTATGATTAGTACCGTATTAAGAAAATTTTAAAAAAATTATAATTTTTTGGTAGATTAAAAAAAATATAATTAATATCTTATTAAGAAAAATCAAAAAAATATTTTTTGTGTAAAAAATAAGTAAAACCAAGCATGCGATGACTTGTATATTTAGTGGTGGAATTTTTTTTTTTAACCTTTTATGATAAAGTAATTTCTTTTTAAATTTTATATGAAAACCATTTCTTCATAAACAAAATTTCTAAACTTAAATTAAACTTATTTAAGAATTTTGTTAACTTTTTACAATAACATAAAAGTGATTTCAATTTTAATCATTAAAAGGTTTAATATTTTTTTTTATAAAGTAGGAGATAAACACCCATGTAAGTGGATGAACCTCAATTTTTCTCTTGTTCTTTTATAGCTCCACCTGATTCTTCACTAGCATGTGTGTGTAGGAGTTATCTCTTGGTCGTAAGAGAAACATTAATCCTTTAATTATCTAATATTGTAAGAGAGAATTTTATTTTCTAAACACGTATAAAAATATATGAGCCCATCTGGAACCATGTGAGAAAAAAATAAAGAAAAAAAAATTAGACCCTACATATATATATATATATATATATATATATATATATATATATAGGGAAAAGTTATACTTACAACTTATTTTTCTTTACAACCTCTTACAATTAATATCTTAACCGTTGATTTCTGTCAATCAACGAAAAATAGGTTATAAATATAATCTCTCCCATATATATATAAATAATTTTATCTCCGCAACGTAAAAATTTCAAACCCTAATTAAAATGAGTAACATGGTGAATTATGAAAAAAAAAAAACAAAAAGCAGTGTGCGCGACAAAGTGGCACCTTACAATGATTTTTTTTTTTTTTTGTTAGCACCTTACAGTGATTTACTTAAAAGATTTTGTGTCTTTTTCTCTTTTTGGGGGCAAATTTTCCAGTACATTGAGGACCGTACGTGCCAAAAAATCAAAAAAATGTAACAAAGAGACGTTATATGGTACTACACTACTACCAGCCTCTGTATCGTCGTCACAGTTGCACCTAGCGGTCCACTCCTAGCAAAATAATTCTCCTTGAATTAGCATAATCAAATCGACCAATAAACACTCGTATTTCAAGCTTCCCCAATCATATTCACCACATAACCAAATCGTCGTTCAATTGTTTCGAAACGTCACAAATCATAAAAGCTATAAATCATTCTCGCGGTTCCATCCCATCCCAACACATCAAATATTTGCATAAAAAAAGAGAGAGTTTTATTGTAGCCTAGGGGTTAGGATAGCCCCGGTGACTCATTGGAATCATGGGTTGCAACACCTCAAGACTTGATCGGCTTCCAGCGGTGGCTTTATGCCGTGACCGTTGCAAATTCCTCGACGAAGCACTCCGCCAAAGCTACGCCCTCGCTGATGCTCACGTGACACACATGGAATCCCTCAAAACACTTGGCCCCGCTCTCCTCTGTTTCTTCGATCAATTTGAAGATTCCGGCGAAACCAACGAAATCAAACCCCACCTCTCGAAATCACCACCCCTTCACTCTCCCTCCTCTTCTTCCTCAAGTTCCAACTCAGATGTACATGTCCTTTTGCATTCTGAATCAGAAGTCGAGGACACAGATAAAGAATTCCAATTGCTCACTCAAAGTCGTTATGATTATCTCAACTACGACACTGCATTACCAGCTACTGATAATGTGGCTTTCATGAATTACGTGGAGCCTCTTTACACTCCCTTTTCTCCGCCGAAGCCGCCGCCGTTACCGCCTCCTCATAACAGCTCAGCCTGGGATTTCTTTAACTTCTTTGAGCCGTACGAGAGATACCAAGTGCCGTACAATCCGAGTGGTAAGACTGACGCAACGGAGGAGAAGGAAAAGGGAAAGGCCATCATCACTCAGAAAAATGATGGTGTTGGTGTACATGGGTCTAAATCTACTGTAGGAGAAAGTAAGGTGAATGAGGAAGAAAATGGAGAAGCCAAGAATAAAAAGGCTGATTCGAAGGAAAAGAATTCAGTTTCAGAGAAAGAGCCACCGAAGTCAGAGGAATGCAGCAATAGCAACTCTGAGAAAGTGAAATCAGCGAAAGGTTTGTCTGACGCAGTGAAAGAGATTCAGACTCTATTTGAGAGGGCATCAAATTCGGGAAACCCAATTTTGGAAATGCTGGACGTTGGGAAACTCCGTTACCATCGAAAAATTGACTTCAATCAAGGTAAGCACAGCACGGGTGTGTTGGCCACTGTTCACCAATCAACAGTGTTGTCTTTTCATATTTTAATTTTAGAAAAAATTTATTCCATTAACGATTGAAATTTTTTGGATCAGTTTCATGCAAGATGATGCATGTGTTCACTCCGTCAATTCCCTCAAATCTTCTGTCAATTAAATGCATGGAATCCTCATTGCTTGGACGGAGAATGCGATCTGGGTATCAAGGAGTTTATAAAGACAAGGGCCTCAGCTACTCGAATCTCAGCTCTACTCTGAAGAAGCTGTGTATGTGGGAGAAGAAGCTGTATAACGAAGTGAAGGTATAATATACAAATTGTTAGTTAGTTTGTCTTTTTAAAATTTGGTAAAATAAAAAAGATAAAAATTATATTTACAAACTTTATGTTTATAAACTAAATTATCTATTTCCGGGATTAGACTTTGTTAGAAATGTATTTCCGTAAATATATTAATTGAGTTTATAAACGAAAAATTTGTAAGTATAATCTATCCCAATAAAAAATATATATCTTTTACAGTTGAAGATTCCTAATGTGTGTTTTTTTTGTCAGGCTGAGGAGAAATTGCGCATACTTCATCAAAAGAAGTGTAGGCAGTTGAGACGTATGAATAAAAGTGGTGCCGATGCAGACAAAGTTGACTCTGTTCAAACTTTCATTGGGATTTTAGTTACAAAAATGAAAATTTCTATCCAAGTAGTTCACAAGATATCTAATATGATAAGCAAGTTGAGGGAAGAGGAGTTATGGCCGCAGATCAACAGGTTTATTCTCATGTAAGTCATAATTAAAGTTTCTTTAACTAAATCCATTCCAAATTGTTTGAACCTCTGTAGTTGACAGGTGCAGCCATGACCTTAAATCTTAATTTGCTATAGTTGACCTTTTTATAAAAAGGTTGAAAAAGGACAGCTATGATTTAGTATTTTTACATTTGATGCTGTGATCTTGTCTTTTAGTCTACTGCATAGAGTGCTTATACTATGCCAACAACCATGGACAGTGAGCAAGAGGAAGTGATTATCATATCCGTAGGAATGATCATTAAGCAAGAGCAAGAAATTCAATGACACCCTGATGATTATTGCATTAGAAGCATATCAAACTACTGTATCAAACTACTTGAACCAGTTAATTAGATAATAATAACGAATATTCCAATTTCCAAGTGATTGAACCTCCTCTGTGCTTCTTAATATTCAAGTTTAATTAATCATATAATTTCTTTTGAAGGTTCTAATGAACATTAATACATCTATTTTTTCTTCCTTAAAGGCATCTAACCTATTGTTATTTTCTTTTTCTTTTTCTCCCTTTTCCCCCTCCACTTGCTAATGACTATCCATTTGTGGAAAAGGTTTTTTGGAATGTGGAAAGATATGCAAGAATGTTACAGACGCCAGTATCAAGAAATTGCTGAAGCCAGAACTTTAGATGCCTCTTCGTTAAACAAAAAGCTTGGCAATTCTCATCTTGATGCAGCAATAAAACTCAAATCTGAGGTGCAAAACTGGAATTTAAGCTTCTCAGATTGGATTCACGCTCAGAAGTCACATGTGAAAGCCTTGAATGGTTGGCTAGTAAGATGTCTATTGTATGAACCTGAAGAAATACCAGATGATTCAACCCCCTTCTCTCCTGGCAAGATTGGTGCACCACCTGTGTTCGTAATCTGTAACAAATGGTCACGGGCAGTGGATAATCTCTCAGAGAAGAATGTAATTGAAGCCGTAAATGGATTTATGGTCAGAGTGAATGAGCTCTTGGAAAGGCATATTTTAGACCATCAGCAAAAAATAACATTGGACAAGGAATTAGAGAGAAAAGTGAAAATCTTGGAGAAGCAAGAGCAAAAGATGCACAAAGTGGTGCAGGCTAGGGAGAGAAAGATGGTTCCAGATGCCAGAGAAGAGAAGGAAGCCCTGTTACGAGGGGATGCTGTGCATCATGGTGATATTGTTGATACTATTAGCCTACAATCAGGTCTGCAACAGATCTTTGTTGCCATGGAAAGGTTCACTGCCACCACTGCTTACTTATATGAAGAACTTAGCCAACAAATTAAGCAAGAGGATCATGTTTTGGGTGAGTACAAAAATTAAAACTTTTTAAATTCGATGATTCTCGTAGGATTGAAGTTATCTCTTAAAATTTTCCGAATCTAAATTAGTGTACAGAATCTCATAAATTTTCTCCAAAGAAAATACATGTTTACTTAATTTACTAATAAAGCATTTGAAACCATAATTATATTTTGATTATGTTAAATTATGTATTATTGTTTCTGGATGAGTAGCCAGACACCAGACTAACTATTCCGCATGACAGCCGAAAATGAAATGCTGTCTTAACTACCATCACAATGTAATTAGAGGTGTGAAATGTAAGGAAATTAAAAGAAGAGAAAAAATTTACTAAAAAAGAAAAAGAAAAGGGGAAAGAAAAGGATTGAGCGACGATGCTTCCTTTCCATTCATTCATAAAAGATCATTTCACTCTCACAAAAAGGTGGAACTCACTTTAAAATTTTTTCCATCCATTCTCTCTCCAATGATTTATTTTTTTCTCTCACTTAAAATGACACAACTTTGTGTCCTTCAAAATGATACACACTTTTTCCTTCGTAAAAATTTAAAATGTACTATATTTTATTAGGGAAATATAGCTATGTTGTTGCTGGAAAAAAAAACTTATGTAGTAACACATAGAAAAGATAGGATATGCGGGTGGATTTTGATTTTGATTTTTTTTAAAAATGAGTTAGTCCCATTTTTTGTGTGTCTGTTACAAAAAAAAATATATATATATATATATGCAATGACTATAGAAAAAAATGCAGCCATTCCATTTCTTTAGAGGAGGATATTTTGGGTTAATTTTATGTTAATTGGGATTGGATCTTAAAAAGTAGAGTAAACATCCTTTTTAGTCCCTGGCAATTTCCACGAAGGTCTTTTCAGTCCCTGGCAATAAAAAAAGGACAAATTGGTCCCTGAAATAACAAAAAAAAGGGTCACGTTCGTCCTTCTGTCAACTCCACTGTGATGGCCCAACTAACGGTGCCCATGTGGCACGTTAGTGTGATGACGCGACTTGGACGCCTGCCACCGTGGAAGAGCAAACGACGACGTTTTCTTCCAAATAGGTACATAGCTTTCCAAAGTACCACACGACGTCGTTTCTTGGTTGAGAAAACTCAGCACCAACACTGGAAGTTACCGTAGTGAGTCGTTTTTATTGCACTTAAGTTTTTGCATATTATTGGAACCCCATTGTTGACCTCCGAAGCTTCATTGAACGGTGAGGTTTGTCAAAGACCGTGGTTTCTGGTAAGACAATCGAGTGTGGACAGTGAAGGTTGTCGAAAGGTTAGTTCTCTGGTGGTTAAGGGAAGTTCGAGTGTGGGTGTTGTCTTACATGCACTAAGGTACGTGTTGTCAGAAATTCTTCCATATTTGTGGTCCCCCCTCACTACATGTTGTGTATTCTTTGTTGGATATGGTCCCCCATGTGCGGTCCATTGTCTGTTTATATGGTTAGGGTTTACAAACAATATACCATTTTATGTCTGTGGTCCCGGTTTGTATAGTTTATTGGCATTTTTTAGTGCTTTGTGGACCCTGATGTTAGTCCCTGTAGTGCATGCATATTTTGTAAAGGTGAATTTTTTTTGCAATTTACTGACTTGTATGGTTACACGGTAGTGTTGAGTCTGTGGTCCCAGTTTGTATAGGATTATTGGCATAGAGAAATTGCTTTGCGAACCCTGATGTTAGTACCTGTACTGCATGAATTTTTTGTAAATGTAATTTTTTTTTTTTGCAATTTACTGCCCTGTGTGCACCTGCATCTGTGGAAGGCAATGATGGGCAGTGGCGGACCCATGAATTTTATTGAGAGGGGGCGAAAAATAAAAATACTTCTTCATAAATAAAAGTACTTCAAATACAATTCAGACCTAATATGCAAAAAATTGAAAGAAATCTATTACAGAAATTAAGATCACTTCACTTAACTCTTACTCTACGTGTTTTCATATTGTTAAACTCATCTATAATTGAATCCGTGCTAAAACTCAAAACAATTTCTTTTTCAATGTATGTAATTAAAGAATCATCAAGAAATTGGTCTTCCATTCTATTTCGAAGCCTGGTCTTGATTATCTTCATAGCTGAGAAAGATCTTTCAGTAGTTGCTGTAGAAACTGGAAGAGTGAGTACAAGTCTAATCACTCTATCAATAAGAGGGTAAATAATAGACTTTCCAGTTCTTTCTTTCCCTTGACATAATTCTGATGTAGTTGATAAATTAATCAAATCTGGATGTTTAGGAATGTCAAGCTCAAAATGTTGTCACTCCATCTTCAAATGCAATTTTTCCTGTTCTGTGAAATCTCTAGAATAAAATTTATCAACAAGTTTGCAAATATCATCACTATTAAATAACTTGTACCTGTTTCTTGGATCTAAAGCCATGCTCAAAGCAAGTAATTCTATAGTCATTGAACCTGCTATTTAATTCTTTCAATTGATAATCAATTGTAGCACAAAAGACATTTACCCTATAAATTTTTTCTACTAATCACCTTGTTCATTTCGAGCACGACCTCGCCTTCCAATATATTTTGCACTCATATCTGGAATGTCAATGTCATGTTTTATGCAAAATTCTTGAACATGAACCAAGAAAGCTTCCCAACCTGTCTCTCTTAATTTCTGAAGTAACTCTTTTGTAGTTGAAACCAGATGTAAAGCATTTGAAATATCTTGAGACATTCGTTGCAAAGCTTGACAAAGGACATCAGTAATACCCATAATTTCTTTCATAAGGTGCAATATGATGATAAAATCAAAAGATGTCAATGATGAGTATGCATTATCTGCATCTCCACGATGTGATGTTGTCTTTCCTTCATTAGAAATATTATCAAGAACTTCACATGTGGCTTTAAACATTTTAAACAAACTGCATATTGAATTGTAATGAGAACTCCAACGAGTAGCTCCAGCTCGATGTAAAGTACCAATCTGATTAAGACCAACTTTTGATTCGAGTTCATCAATAGCAATCATTCTTGCAATTTCACTTGCTTGGGCAGCCCTTAACTCATCATTACGTTTACAAGAAGAAGTAACAATATTAATTATGAAGTTTAATTTTTCAAAAAATTGATGAACATGTTTTACCTCATGAGAAGCAGCAACCAAGGCAAGTTGAAGGCGATGAGCGAAACAATGGACATAATAAGCAGTTGGACACTCAGCGCAAATTAAAGCCTGCAATCCATTACATTCACCTCGCATATTGCTAGCTCCATCATAGCCTTGTCCTCGAATATTTTGAACGTCAAGATTATGGTGACAAAGAGTGTTGAATATTCCTTGTTTCAAAGTCTTAGCACTTGTATCTTCCACATGTACAAGACCAAAAAACCTTTCCCGTATAAAACCATCTTTATCTATGAATCGCAAAACAATAGCCATATACTCTTTTCTAGATACATCACTAGCTTCATCAACAATAAGACAAAACTTGGCATTGGAAATTTCTTCTCGTATTGTGTCCTTTATCTTTTGAGAGAAAACATGAAGAATTTCCTTTTGAATTTTTGGAGAACTATATGATGCATTTTGAGGAGCTTTTTCTAAAACAACTGCTGCAACTCCTTGATTATAAGAAGCTAAAAACTTTATCATCTCAAGAAAATTACCCTGATTAAGTGAGTTTTCATTTTCAGCATGACCTCTAAAAGCACATCCTTGAAGAGCAAGCCATCTTGTCACGTCCATAGAAACTTGTAGTCTCAAACGATTAGTTGCAATCTCCTGAGTAGTAAGTTTTTCAACCAATATCTCAATATGTTGAGATTGGTTCATAAGATCACAACTTGAACTCACAACATTTTTATGCATTGAGATAGCATTTTTCCCAACATGGCGTAGAAAAGCACAATTTTCTCCTTCATTAACCTTTTTCCAATTTCTAAATCCCTCAACAACAAATGTATTAAGTCCAACACGACCACTACCACCTGGTTTACTAAATAAATAACAAGGCAAACAAAATGCAGCATCTTTACTTGGAGAATACTCTAACCAAGATGGAAACAAATCAAACCAAGAAGAGCAAAAATGACGTCGATTCCTCTCTGGCCCAGAAAAAGGATAATTTTGAAGATTGCATTGAAATGGACCAAGTTTAAGATAAGCACGTCGAATTTCATCTTGTTGATTTATAGGATATTTCCATATTGGAGGGCGTAGTGCAGGATCTCTTTCCAGTGAAGCAAAATCAACTTTAACTACCTCTTTATTTTCAATTCTAGGAAGCTTTGAAGAAGGAGTTTCAATATTTGACAATGCAACATTAGGAGTAGAAGAGGGCAAAGACTCACTATTCTTTCTCTTAAAATAAACATCAATAGTAGCACTCTTTCCCATAATAAATACCTACAATCTTTCATGTATTAAATATAAAATAAAATCATAGTCAGCAAATTTCAAACTATAAAAAATAAAATAAAATAGAACAATTGTTTGATAGTAAGGAAACGTGCAATAAAATAAAATAGACTCACCAATACCCACCCAAAAAAATAAAATAAACAATAAAAAGAACAACAAGTGCTTGAACTCACCAGTACCCAATAAAAAAAACGCAGCTCAGCCATTAACTAATTATAAAAAAATGCAGATTTCAAATAAAAACACTCACTCATACGTTTAACTTTCAGCATAGCCATTAACTAATTATAAAAAAAAACGTTCAGCATAGCCACCCTCACTTTCAGCATCTTAAGTTCTTAACTTAAGCATAGCCATTAACTAATTATAAAAAAACGCAAATTTCAAATTAAATGGGTTTCGACTTTCGAGACAATCAGACAATACAATCAAATAGAAATAGAGATACAGATAGAGAACTTCATAAAAAAAAAAAAAAATAGAGATAGAAAAAGACCTCTGAGGAGATTTAATGGCTTTGGCCTTTGGGGTCGATGGGTTGCAGATGGGAAATAGGGTTTGTTAAAGTTAAGAGAGAGAAAAGTGGGTTGGGAAATAAAAATAAGAATAAAAAAAGATTGAGTGTAATATGATATTGA